AAAATCCAAAGGGAGTCCAGTATCTGACTTGGAGGCAGAAGCATATTTTTGATAAAGGATAATGTAACTTATGAGAGTCTGTTCAGGAAATAACCTTTTTGCTCTTTCCAAATAATCAACATGGTTTACACTAATACCCCTACGCAGAGTGCGGAAGAGAAGCCACTGGGCTGATGTAGGAGCAGCTGTCTCACACATCAAACTCACTGGCTTTCACTGCACTTGCATCAGATTTTCTAAGGAAGAAACACTGCAGTCATACTGGGGAGAGCTGTATTGTTACTAAGTTCAAAAGGAAGTCAGGTTGAAGAAAGAGGGTTGGAAAATCCAATCACAAATTATGGGGAAACATGACACAGCAAACAATTTCAGATGGGTTTCCTTGTAACTGTTTTATTACATATATAAGGACAAGATCTCCAAATAGCACTTCCTCTGCCATTCAAGCAACAACAAAAAAATCCCTCAGGTGAAGTGACTTCAGACACACCTAAACCTTGGCACCAGACAGACAGCTATGATAAATCTCCTCCAGCAAATTGTGTAGAACATGTTATTGCTGATATTTCTTCCCAGTACATTAATGCTTAGCTGCTTTGTACTCCTGCAAAATATTATTTCTTTCATTTGAGACTATTTTATTGGGATATAGAGGAACTAAACTTCAGATTCAGAAATTTAAAAAAAAATAAAATAATTGAAGTACAGTCAAATGTTGTATGTACTTGGCTAGGAAACTCTGAAATGGATCTAAGCCAAATTTGTTTTTAAAAAAGTTAGATTTGCTAAGAAACACCCTTTCTCTTTTTGAAGCTAGTGTTGTTCTAACACTTGTTTTTAAAGGTCAGGATTAGAGGTCTTCCCAACATCCCCATTCCATCCTGACAGGGGGGAAAAAAAGTGGAAGCTGAACAGTCAAAATGCATTTCTCAGCTCCCTCTTTGCTATGGCATGTAAAACACACAGAAGAAACCAGTTAGCTGTCAGTTAGTGGCATTCACGTAGTTTTATTTGTGGGTACAGCACAAACACAGACACCACATTCAAACATGTGTCCTGTTTTAATATCACCACAAACCATTCCTAGAGTTAATGGTTAATAACTCACTTAAGCCTAGAGATATTTTTTTTCAGTCAAAGGCTTAAACCAGTAACGGATGAAAATACTGAAGCACGTTATTATAGCCATGCAAAAATAATCAAAATTACATAGGCCTAATTCTACAGACTTTACTGAGGCAAATCTCGCATGGAAAGCAATAGCAAATTGTCCCAAGAAAAGATTGCCAGACTTATTATTTGTTATAGAAATGCTTTAGCTGCTAAAGAACTTCTGAGAAACCCAGTAATGCCTCAAAGTGAAATTAGATATTTTTATCAGCATGCCCAGACACTGCAGCATCGTGTCCCCAGATCTCTTCAAAATATTTTTCCTAACCCTGAGATAGGCTGAGCAGCTTTCACTCCCTTTGGAGCCAGTGGCAAGGGCACTCAGTCTTGCAAAATCCAGACAGAGAGCTGACTGAATCCTTTCCAGTTATTTTGCTGAACTTACGATTAGACCCAATGTGAATAGTCAAGGATAATAACGGCTAAATAAGAGCAACTCTGAGACAGAAAGTTGTCGCTTGAAGAATGTTGCCTCTCAGTGACGCTAAATAGCTAGTGAAAAAAATAAAGAAAGAATGTGCCTGAAAAGAACAGCTTATCTAGAAGTACATGAAGTCAGAATAGTCACAAGTCATGGATTTCTACTGTTTTCCTCGTAATGAGACATTAAGTCTCGTATGTGCATAGTGTACTTGGATACAGTAATCAGTTTGGACACTCCAGTCAAATACAAACCATCAACATGCTTCTCTCAGAAGTGCCTACCACGTGTAAGCTTAGCATTTACTGGGCTTGGTTTGGGGTCAGACTCTTTTTCCTTGAATGAGAGGTGCATTTTATAGAAGGATGGAAGGGACCTCTAGTGGGTCATCTTAACCCTAACAGCCTAATATTTTTTTATATATCGTACCCATTATGTGAATGCAATCATTCCAGTTTCCACTGCCTTCCTACTCTGTGTGTGGGTGAGATATTGTTGATATCTCCATTATGAAGCACTTCTTACATCAGCCTTCTTGGGCAAGTATTTTTCCCTGATTTACAAACACAGGAGTTGTTTGAATAACTAAGGCAGAAGGTCAAAGAGATATGTATCTACCACATCTTCTTTGTTTTACGGAGATTTTTGATCTAGAGTATACAAAGGAAATTGGTAGGCAAAATGTAATCCTTAAGTCTGGCTGAGTAATAAAAGTCATGTGAAATGTAACACTACGTAATGTTATACAATCATCTGGAATAGCAGAATGTTATTTGGGGCCAGACTTGATGCTAAATATCATACAGACATTTAAACAGAAACCCACCCTCTTTGGCACACTAACCCCTCACACGTCAATCCCTGCATTATTTTGGAAATGCATACTCACTCAAGATGTAGATCTTCTAATGCTCTTTGACTGCCTTGTGTGTGCTGGAACAAAATCTTTAGGTTTCAGCTCTGTAAAATGGAATAGCTTTTCAATCAAGAGTGCTTTAGTAACAGGCTTTAGAGATTCAAGATTTTGTCACAGTGGGTAAATTGATCAAATACACATTACAGGATTAAGGCAGCTTTAGGTTGTCTGTGATAAAAGGAATTATCCTTGGTAGTTTACAAGAGGCAGTAGGAAAGCTTTGCTCATCACATGAGACATAATGTTTTAGACTCAGTAAAGCACTAAGATTTTGTATGCTTTTTATAAACTAGAAGAGTGAAAGGAGAACTGCATTTCCCATGCAAATGTCCTGGGAAAATAGATTACTGAAGCTAGGAATGTAATGTGAGCCACAATGGACAGCTTGACAAGCAGCACAGAAGTATGCCACTCAGAGGAGTCTAAGGTACAAGTTTTATTAGCACACTCGCAAATCAGCCTGGCCTTAATGAGAAGGTTGTTGGAGATGGCTGTTGGAGAGCTTCAGGGAGTGCACTGGTCAAAAAAAATTCTCCTGGGGGAGATCTTGAGCTTGTGTTAATGGTCACAGCTGCACTGAAGAGAAAGAAAGAATATGGGTTCAGCTCAGTATTCTCACATTGCATTTTTACTTAGGGACATTGACTTGAAGGGCATAAAATATTTGCCATAAAGCCTGAAGTCATCCAAAACTGACTTTGGGATGCTTAAAACATAGAAAATGTTTGGTCAAATGTGTGCTCACAAATATGAGTATATCTAGGCCCGATTTTGAGCAAGCACCCCTACTGTGTGACTTCATGAAAAAACAACAGTCAGCTTTCATTGTAGAATGGGGGAAAGCTGCTATTTGAATTTTACACTGAGTAACAGAGATGTAATATCACTTGAACCCGTCACTGGAACCCAGTACTCAAAAAGTGCAGCTCTACAAAGACAAAAAGTGAAGGAGATGCTCTTAAACCAATGCTACTTGAAGTTGCCAATTTCAAATAGCTCTACTGTTGATCAAGTCACAAATCTAAAGGGTTTGGCTGAAGGAACTGAGAAAGATAAATTGCAGAACACTCCCAATTGTTTAGCATACTATCTTTGTCTACCACATTTTGAAACCTGGTAATGTAGCAGGATAATTAGGGATGGGACGGAAGGAAGGAATATCCACTCACAGTTATGTGTCTTCTCCCATTTCACCCACATGCAGAAACAACTTCTTATCCAGCTAGCTGACCAAATGATTATACGAGAGACAAGGCAGTGAATTCATTTTCTTTGGCCAGTAAGAATCCAGTCACATGCAGTACCCTGATGCAAGATGAGAGGATACATAGCCAATCTCAGCACACTGAAGTAGGGCAATTGGAAGGATAAACGCTATTATAACATGCATGGGAACATAGCTAAAATCCCAGCTTGCGCTCTTTCTCTGGTTCACAGTGCAGCTGTGCATCTATCCCACATCAAGGAAAAAGCATGCATTTTCTCATGGATATTTATTATCCAGGTGCCACTTGTATCTTCTTTCCTCAGATGTTTCGTACCTTCTTTGCCAGTAGAACATCTCTGAAAGACAGATGGCTAAACATCCCCCAGTTCTTTGAAAATAAGACAGAGGTTAGTCAACCAAAAGGTCACAAATTCTGGAAAAGTACCAGAGACGCACTCAAACAAACCAGGATGCTCTTGAAGAAGACCCAGTGAAGAGAGCTAGCATAAAACTCAGAGAGCACAGCAGACAAGAAATTTGCTCCCAAAAGTTTATGTTTAATAGAATACTAGAAAGGCATCTAAAACCATAATTAGACACAAGTGGCCACGCAGTAAAATCTACAGGAGTGGCTGAGGCTCACTTCAGCTGATGCTCAGGCTGCTGCCTCTCTGGCAGCTCATTATGGACTGAAGTGCCTACATTTTAGGCACACAAATTCGAACATTTTTCCATTACACTCCTGCACTTATTTAAATGCACTTTTATGTATTTATTTATGTTTTTGAAGTAGATGACTGAGCAGAAGAAAATTATTAGAATGATGCTGTATAAACATTGCTTCCGGCTTCATTACAAGTACTTGTTATTCCCTCCCTTGCGGGACTGCTCCATTATCTGATCCTTTAGTTTTCCTGTCTCTGACAACTGCCTTCCTACTTTTACTGCCTGAAGCGTGATATATTAAGAGTTGTAATGCTTTCCTAGAACACAGCAGTGACTAATCCGACTCCAGGTCTAGTGGTGTATGATCGGTCAGCTGAGAATTATTACCCGCTGAGGTCTTTCCCTTCTCTGTAGGGAGCAGCTACTCTGAGAAGCAGGACTTGCTCCAGCAATCTGACTTAACTGGATGTCTCCAAGCCTGAGAGCTGGTACACAGGCACTGTGGGGCTGCCGTTGCCAGAGGAGAGAGGAGTTCTGCCAAGTACTGGGCAATAACCAAATCCTAAATGTTTTCTGTTTTGTTTTGTTTTTTTTCCCCCTCGTCTCTTCTCTTTCTTTAGCAAACGGGCTGTATCAGAACATCAGCTATTGCATGACAAGGGCAAGTCAATCCAAGATTTACGAAGAAGAATATTCCTTCAAAATTTAATTGAAGGTGTCAACACTGCAGAAATCCGTGCAACTTCAGAGGTTTCACCTAACCCTAAGCCCGCGACCAACACGAAGAACTACCCTGTCCGATTTGGTAGTGAAGATGAAGGCAGATACCTAACTCAGGAGACAAACAAATCACAGACCTACAAGGAGCAGCCCCTGAAGGTATCGGGGAAGAAAAAGAAAGCAAAGCCTGGAAAACGTAAGGAACAAGAGAAGAAAAAGAGGCGAGCCCGTTCGACTTGGCTAAATTTTGGCATATATGGAAGTGGCATGACCGAGAGCCCACTCTTGGATGACTCTGTTACTACACATAATTACACTTTAAGGTAATTCTGCTACATCCTTTTGGGGGGGCATACCAAATATTTACTGAAATTGTTATGCTTTGGTGTGTGAGGCCGAGGCCTCACTCAAGCCTGGAGTAATAGCATGCCTTTACACTCATAACTGGGCAGTGGCTTTTCAAGCAGTGCACAGTCTCAAGGTGCTTTCTGGAGGTAGGTACCCTTTCCACCTTGCACTGGTGGCAAAGTCTTTTTTTCCTATGACAAACAATTCAAGTAAACCACTTATTGCCAAGATGAGCTTCCTGAAGCTGGGTGACTAGTAAGTAAAGTTATTTCTGCAAAAAGAAAGCGCATCATAGCCATTAACATTTTCTTTCCTGTTTTAACCGTAGTGTCTCTCACTTCAGATCTCGGTCCCACGCTTGGGCCTCAGCAGATTGAAAGCTTTGAGTTTTATTTAAGGCTCTGCATCTATAAAATGGCGAAGTTTTCTTTCCTCCCTCTCAACGCCTCCCCTTTTTGGCAACTTTCCTACCCTCGCTTTACAGTTTTTCATTTTACTGTTTAACCTTAGGGGAGAACACGGAAAATTTCTCTCTTAGTAATATCTGCAAACAATGCAGACCAGCCTTTTGCCATAAAATTTTCCCTGCCATTAGGACTTTTTAATTCAGCTCCATCTTTTTGCCAGCTCGTGAAACAATTACGTTGCTGCTGAAAAATGTTGAGCATTGCTTTTGGAGAGGGACGTGCTTCCCTCATGTATGACAATGAAGGGTTTTCAGGGCAGTGGCGAGCTGGAGACTTCAGCCTAGGTGCCCCAAGCGACTCATTTGCTCGCAGTCATCGCAGCTTGAGTAGAAGTCTGCACACTTGCAGACAAAGCGAAGGCGTCCACTCCTCAGTTCTCCTTAAATGTTTGCATTTTCAACAGCAAAATCCCCACTCTTTTCTCTCCTCTTCAATTTGGAAGAATAGGGACATAAGAGAAGTGCCACTTGCTCACAGTAAATCCCTTAGAAAGAAACGCCAGCTGTGGGATTTACTAAAATCCAGTCTTGGGTTAAGCTTTACAGGCCACAGTTTGCAACGTGCTCTATCGCCTCCACTTCTGTACTAGCATCTACAGGAGTTAGCGGCATTCCGTTCTAGGCATTCAGTGTCCCAGACCGTAAACCAGTTGGCGTGGCTGTAGCAGTTAGCAGTGAAGTACGAGGGGCTGGTTTGTCTCAGCACCTTAGGAAAGGCATGCTCCAGGACTATGGTCAGGAGTTGCCTGAAATTTCTACAGGTGTTAAGACCAATAAATAGCACCTGTCTTTGGCA